AGTTTATTAAGTGTACACCGTGTAAAATATAATTTAAAACATTTTCTGTGATGAAGGGAAGTGTATTTAAGAGAAGCTTGAGTCTTGGTATATACGTATGTGAAGTTTAAAGAAATGGTGGGTACTTATTTAAATAAAAGAAAGGAATTGTGGGTACTTATTTATATCAAGGAATGGCGGATACTTATTTGTATGCAAGAGCTAAATCTACCTATTGCAGATCTTTCTTTATGCCTGAAATGTTATATAAACTATTAATTAGACCTTATTTATTAACAAAACAAGACCATAATCAACTCTCGATGGCATCGGATACTCGAGATTTGAACTAAATTAGAACGGTCCGTCATTTAAAAATTTAATTTAAAAATGGAAAAGCGAGGCTAAGTCTCGAATATACCAGTGTCTTGGTTACCACAATGCAGACATCTTGTCAAAATTAGAAACAGTGATAACTTGGCTCAGAATGAAGTAAATTGAATGAAATTTTCAATATTTTCATTTTACGTTATCTATTTTTGAGCTATTATAGCAAGAATGGTCAGTTCTTTATCTAAATCTTACATAATGTATCTTTAAATAGAGGAATGATAGTGTACTTATTTCAATCAAGGAATGATGGGCACATATTTAAATCAAGGAAAGGAATGGTGGATACTTTTTTTCTTAAATAAAGGAAGTGGAGCGGGACAGAGAAATGAGGTTTAGAATCCACTCGACACAAACTAGGTCATATCGGGACTAACATATGATTGAAATTTATTTCATTAAATCGCTTCCGCGTAGGGGATATAGGAAGGGAATGGTGGGTATTTATTTAAATCAAGGAAGGAAATGGTGGATACAAATCCATGAATGTTTGGTATTAATTTAAATCAGTGGATGGTGGGTGCTTATTTAAACAAAGTATGCTTGAGTTCATTAGCACCTTATACGGGACCTCGGTTTTTCGTCCCATCCAAACGTCAACACCGGTATCGAGCCCGGAACGTCCTGGTCAGTAAGCCACCGTTATATTACCTGAGTCGCCGTGGCTCCGTAACCATCAATAATCAAAATTAACATTGGCCAATCTGGAAATAACTTCTTTAAGTGGTCCTTTATAGTAATCGAACATTCACACGCTAACACTATTTATGGATAACAATTACTGGTTTATTAACACGTAACGTTTCGACGATGATACTCTCGTCTTTACCAAGTACATGTAACGTTTCGAAGATGATACCCTCGTCTTTATCAAGCACATGTAACGTTTCGAAGATGATACCCTCGTCTTTATCAAGCACATGTAACGTTTCGACGAAGGTACTCTCGTCATTATCATTTGCTTGATAAAGACGAGGGTATCATCGTCGAAACATTACATGTGCTTGATAAAGACGAGAGTGTCATCGTCGAAACGTTGCTTGTTAATAAATCAGTAATTGTTATTCCATAGTGATGGCGTGAATCTGGAAATAGCCCTAGTGTTTACGGGGTATATGCCAATAATTTTATTCGTGTTCGTGCCTCTTTAAATCTATATAGGTGTTGACAAGAGTACAGTTTACTTGCTACCATTAAATCTCCTCGCCTTAAATTATAACCTAATAAAGTATGCTGATAGATATTATGAAATATAAATTAATTTCATATGTTATATAAAACAATTTCTTGCTGATTTTTATAATAAAACCTCAGCGATGGAACCGGTTCAAAACTTTTAACCTAAATACAAAATTTTTAAAACGGAAATTGTCTGAGATTTAAATAAACACAGGTTTTAGTCTATAATGTATATACATTTAAATACTAACAGCGTGATATAAGTATATAACTATGAATAAAGAGCTCTGTATGTATCAACCAGTTCAACGCACTGTGTCAAAACGTTCGAAACTTGAAATTTTAAAAATTGGACGTTTTATTACATTGTAATTTTACTGCTAATGTTTATCACAGGAATGACAGGAAAACGATCTTGAAAGACGGGGATGGGTTTTAATGCCTCGTCAACACAATATTTCGTTCGCTTTGAGACTAACATGCGGTTATTTTTCTGTGATCACATATTCCCTGTCATGGAGGAGAATCTTGCCAGGACCGTCTATACTATTCATCGATTTCTAAGAGTTCTTTTATGTGCACCCACTTTCCCGTCCCATCCGAACGACTAGACGACAGTTTTTTGCTCAGACTTTCTGCTCAGATTTAAAAATACCGATTCGTCTCAGTCCATGCCGGGATTCGAACCTGGATATTCTAGACATTACCCCTGACCCACCCAGGCACCCACCCCACCTCACCCTACATTACTCAAACCGAACTCATCCCAATAAGAAGAAACAGATTAGATACCTGATATAAATATAAATGTTGTTTTATAAAATTAAATGCTGTTTTATAAAATAAATAGCTGTTTTATAAAAACCCTACCACACCTAACCTCACTCCAATAATAATAAAAACAGATTAGATACCGGATATAAAATAAAACGTTGTTTTATAAAAAAAAAAATATAAAACATGGTAAAGCACTTGTTAGATTTAGATTTTAAATGACTAGTCGTGCATACAAATCATTTCTCTTGTGGATTATATTTCATATTCTGTTTTATTCTCTTGTATTTTGGGTGAATAATACGTGTGGATATTCAAATACTTTTTGTTCCTATTGTCAGCCGTGGTTTTCTGCATGCGTGTTCAATTATCAGACTTATTAATTTCTGGTCATGTGTTTATAGGTTGAGTTGGTTTTAATCAGAATTAATTATAGTTTAGTGGATTGTTTTCCACGAGTTACCTGTCCAAATATAATCAGATTTTATTGTGTTTCACTGAAGACAAATATGTTATGTTCTAATTTGTTGATTATTATTGAAGTATATTAGTGTCACGTTATCAAAAGAAAAAATATTATTATCACCCATTTAAAATCTCCTACGTACGTTGGGGGTTGGATGGCTGAATTCTTAGCGTGCGCGCTGTATCATAAAGTCTGTCATTGAGTCAACTGGCGTGGTTTCGATTCCCCGGTTGTACGTGACAAGGAGTAGGGTCGCTTGTCCAACCTCGTGGATTTTCTCCAAGTCCTCCCGTTTCCTCCCATTGCTAAAGACCCCTACGCGCACGAGAATTATTGAAATAAAATTAAACCATACGTTAGTCCCGAAATGACCTAGTTTGTGTCGAGTGGACGTTAAACCCCATTTCTTTCTCTCTCTCTCTCGCTCTCTCTCTCTCCCTCTCCCTACGTACGACTTAAAGAAGCTAAACCTCTAACTTCGAAACACGAATTAAAATTCAATATCGGCCCATTTCAATCAATTTAATTTATGTTGTTATCTTGCTATGAAAATATGAGATCCTAATATCCAATATTTAAGACATAATGAACATTTTAAAATCACCACACGATTTGTGTATGTGTATTATATGTTTACAGCTGCCATTTGTAATGAACAAAGAAAAACATATGCTACAAGACAATGCAGAAGTAATTAATAATGACTGATTCACAAACGACAAAATAATAATACTAAAAACGTGTAGACTGTACTTAGCAGGAGTAAATGACTGCCGTTCGTTTAGGACTGTCCATGTATTTCACCGAACATAATTGATTAGAAATTACAATAAAGTTGCTAAAAATTGAATATAAATCACTTTATATACATTCATATTACATTAACGTATACTTTTAGACCCATGTTCGTCTATTTTAAAGTCCCAAAGAATAGAGCCATACGCCCTTTAATATTTCTTGAAGACGGAACATGAACTTTAATGTCTTTAGCAATGGGAGGAAACCGGAGAGAGAGAGAGAGAGAGAGAGAGAGAGAGAGAGAGAGATTTCATTTCCGGAACGTTGATATAGCTAACGAAATTTGTTAAGGTGTAAACCACATTAAAGATATATTATCATTTTCAATATGAAGATATATGTAAATAGAGGTACCTCAGTATCATAATTATAAAATAACGCCCATCTAATTATCACAAACTGACCTACTGTAAGTCAGATTATTGTTTGGGAACATTAAAACTGCCCGAACACAGCTGATACTTTTTAAGGGATGATTATCATCAATAAGCAGTAATTAGATAAGTATGATAAATAATTAAAGAGAGAGAGAGAGAGAGAGAGAGAGAGAGAGAGTAGCTCTTTTCCGAACTGATATTATAGTTTAATTAAATTTTAATAATTCGCAGAACAGTAGGACGTTAAACCCGATGTCATTTCATTTCATTTCTTTATAATTGCCATGTGTTTTTTTTGGCATTGGGGAAACCGGGGGGGGGGGGCGGAGAAAACCTGGTTTTCATGAGGTTGGTCAGGCGACCCTACTCCTTGTCGCATACAAGCTTTGGATTGAAATCTCGTCACTTGACTCAGTAACAGAATTTCTGAGCTAAATCGCACGAAATAGACTATTCGGCCATCCAACCCCAAAATATCGAAACAAGAAACCAGATAAACTCGATTTTAACATATTCTGATCTGAATCAAACCCAATCTAATCAAAACACAGAGACTATTTCGTTTTGTTTTCTGTTGTTCAAAATTTCGTTTTACTTATCTTCACAACACTAGGATCTGAAAGAGTTGTTAGATAACCCGCGTTCTGATTGATGTGAAGGGTAAGTCAATGAAACGGCGAGTTCTTGGCGTGCGGTGCATGGAACTGTGGGGAATCACTAGAAACGGCAATGCTGATTGGTTAATCAAATGTCTGACTCCATAGGGTCAAAAGCCGCTAGTATGACCCCTGACGCGACCTTCCACTACATCCGGTCAGATCTTCATGTGGTAGAGGCCATCGAAAGTATAAAAAAACCCAACGAAATATAGATCTGTATTTTATTCAAATTGATTCAAACCGACAGTGTTGTTATAAATACTCTGTAATAAATAACTGTTTATTTGTTGTTATAAATACCCTGTAATAAATAACTGTTAATTTGTTGTTATAAATACCCTGTAATAAATAATTGTTTATTTATTGTTTTAGAATTAGAAGAGATTGATATTGACAGTAGAGATGGTTTACCTGATGTAACCCCCACAACTCCACCAAATGTAATAGAAGAAAAACCTCCCGCTGAAAAGCATCCAACCCCGGTCACGCCACCACAGATTGTCGACCGGCATAAAAGAAAGGCCGAGAAGGACGACAGTACTAGTCCATCTGCTTATCGCCCCGGACGTTTGTCTCATTTGGAAATACTTGAGCGAGTTTTCCCTTATCAACGCAAAGCTGTACTGGAGTTAGTGCTACAAGGGTGCAATGGCGATCTGGTTAAAGCCATCGAACATTTTTTATCAGCCCAAGATACGGTGTTAGCTCAACAACAGGCTATGGTGAGCGTGGGACAGAACAGAGTGGAGAATAGATCTAGTACAACGTACATGCCTGGACTAAACACTTTAACTAACTGCCATGTTAGGCATCTTAATGGCACGAATAAATTATCCTATGGGGGACTTAAATCAGCATTTACTCCTCTACCTCCCCCATCGGGGCTTCACTCAGCTTTCTCGCCTCAAATATCCCCCTTTCCCCCAGAAGCTCTCCGAGCGCCGTTCTTTCACCACCCTTCTCGAGCTAGTCACGATTTCATGACGTCGCCGCATTTGGCTTATGCTGGGTTAGGATCTCTCCCAGCAACAAGTCTCCCAAGTATGTTGACTTCGCCGTTTAGTTTTACTCCTTACAGATTCGCACCCACAGGCCTCTCTCTACCTAAATCTCGTACCCCTGATAAAAACAGTGATAAATCAGGACATACAGACTCAGATCACATATCCGATTCTTGGGAAGATGGCTCCTCACCACGTGATCCAAAGGATATAGAGTGATCTCCCTTGTGTGTTTAGACACGTGACAATAAATACTGAGACATCCATGATGAAACTTAAGTGCAAAAACTTGTGGAATTATCTATACTGTGAAATTCAGATAGGATCAGGAACGAAATCAAAATATGAAACAGGTACATACGACTTTAATGTGTATAAATTATGGACTTATAAAATGTGCCACCAAATCCAGAACAATCAGCGTTATGGCTATTTTTAATTTATATGTTTAAATGTTAGTAGACACTAGATTGTATTTAGACACAAATAATACTGCATGAACTTATCACGACTATTATCACGACTTATCTTTTTCAAGTTATAATATAAATGCACAAAAGGGTTCTAATATCGTTCAAATCGTGATTTCTGCTTAATATAAAATTTTACCTTTCACTGTTTACTATGACTCGCTCAGTTTAAACTGTCTTTTCATCTTTTACTCGTTTAGCTTTATGATAGACCAGGGCTCGATCAGGATTAGACAAAAATAAAAAAGAATTTAGCCTGAATAGTCAGGTGCTCTGTTAGATTCCATTTTATGTGATCACACTTTTTGTCCGCGAATACACAAGTAGTTGTGATTTGTTTTTTCACAAACACGTTTTAAAGTGTGCATTGTTAGATCAGAATTATAATTGGTTCCAAACACATTTCTTAATTGGTTGTAATTACCCTTGGATAATTGGCTCCAAAATGAAAGTAGGATTTTATGATTAAAGGACAATATTGGTGTCAGTAATTATCACATATGTGATAGAACTGGTTAAACACGTTCCAAATATAATTAGAACACAGAGATCATTGCTACGATAGATGCGTAATGGGGATTTCAAGAAACGGGAGTGACGAAAGCAAAAGGAAAACACGAGTTATCCTTCAATATAACTGACTGAAGTGACGCGTGAAAACAAATACACGGGAGAATTTCCTTCGAAGACAAAAATGACTGACACCAATATTGTCCTTTAAAATGACACGACTTGATCAAGCCCGGTAGATAACTGTAGAATATTGTATTATATAACTAAAAACATTTTAAATACTCTTCTATGTTATAAATATCTTAATATAGTTCATATTTGTGATAATGTTTGTCTTCGTTAAATAGATGTATTTATTATTAACCATGTTAATAAATCATAAACATCACGGACTAGTAACTAATATCTCAATACCAGATGGAGTAGTCCCCGCTGAACAGAACTACAAACAGACTAGTGTAGAATAAAGTGGGAAGATAATTCATAAAAAGGGCTGTTTAGACCTGAAACGTTATGAATTAAAATCCGAGTTTATTCTAAATCAGCCTGTTTGTAGTTCTGTGTAGTAGGGGATTATTCCATCATAGTCATCTTCTATTCAAGTCTACTCTATCCGCCTGTATCACTTTTTGATCCAGCAGCTACACCCGTGAAGGATGTATTGCCCCCCCTTCCCCAACATTAGTAGGAATATTGGAATAACAAGCAACCACGCAGAGCTGATGTTACATATCATATGAAAAAGCTTTGAGCCGCTGATGGACATTTATTTTTTTGCGGTTTATGTCAGTTTTCAATATTATACATACACGGCCTTTTGGCATTTGATCGGATAGGCTGGGATGGGTGCAAATGAGACGAAAAACCGTGATTCTGTGTACACATTGCCATGCACGTGAATTAACACTTGACAGCTGGAATTAGAAATAAGAGTTGGCCGTAGCGTCGCTGTCCGGGCAAATTTTCCCTCATAGCACACTATATGCTTAAGACCATCTTCATTACCCCAGTCGTTAACCCCCATTTGTTTTCATTTCGTTTTGGGGCATATCTCCTTGAAGTGTTAACGCTGTAAACATTTGTTTAAAATATAAAATATTGAAACATTAATATAGTACATTCTGGCACCTGACTATAGAACACCTTGTTTATATACTAAAATTTTTCTACCTACCGAAAAAAAAACCTAGTTAATAATGTACAAAATAGAGCATTGTTCATGAGTACTCTCTGAACCATATTCTATATGTAAGTGATAAATCCTGTTGACTATACCTAGATGTTATTCTATAGGTGTACTTACACTGTAACATGGGTATCATTTAATCTTGTGTATCTAGCACTAATTTCTTTCACATTCATTCATTTAATATCAAATCTTTGTTTAAAAATTCGTAAAAATCGTTTAAAATCACCCAAAATCAGTTTAAAGCTGATTAATTTTGATAATGAGTGTTCAATTTACAAGTATTTAATTTTTTTATTTTTTAACAGTGATCAAAAAAACTAAATGCTTGTAAATTGGACACTCATTATCAAAATTGAATGGTCAGCTTAAAACTGGAGACAAGTACAAATTAGATGAATTTTGGTGACTTTAAACGATTTTTATGAATTTTTAAACAAAGATTTGATATTGAATGAATGTGAAATAAATTAATGCTAAATACACAAGATTAAATGATACCTGGGTTACAGTGTTGATAGACCCCCATCTTGAAAGTCAAAGTCTTGGCAAAATTCTCGAAAAAAATAACTTTAGTAGAGACGATTACAAATGAACTCTCGATTTATTTAATTTTCACTTTATTCCCAATAACTTGGGTGAAGAAAAATAGGACGTGTAACATCATTCATTCCCTCATTCATTCATTCATTCCTTCATTCACAAAAAAACGTCAACTAAATTCAGCCTTTTTATTGGCCAAATAGTTAACATTTGCACTTGGATTTCAACACACCGCCAATGAAAAGGCTTTATACTTAAAACATTTTAGTTTAAGTTTTCTCGAATAAGGCAACAGGGTCATATATATTTCTGAAAGCTGATTAGGGCAAATCAGTGTTTATAAGATGTATTTTCTCTTATCAGATTTCGAGAATATGCCCCTTGGTATTATCTTTACAACCAACCACTTTTATTATCATTAAGACAAATACCAGCATTATACTTTATTGTATATCATCTTTCATTGTAATTCATTTATACGCCTAGATATGACTTATTGAAGTTAATTACAATTTTACCAACATGTCGTTCCGTTTTATTTTAACGATGTTTACTCCACTTCAAATTGGTCTGAAGACAATTCTTTATAGGGCGCATTCAGTAATGCGCAACATCTGAGTGGTCGCCTCAAGACCATTCTATCAATCGCAATTCATGCTACAAAATCTGCTTTGATTATCAAGACATTTGCAATGGCTGTATAATCAAGTTCAAACCCACTCTGTTCTGTCATAACTGGGGCTTGTTTCACGAAATTTTAACTAAGATAAAATCCAAATTTTAGTAATTTGATTGGATAATATTAGAGTGGATACTCAAAATTGAAGTATCTACTTAAATTTGGATTTTATCTTTAGTTAAATTTTCGAGAAACAGGGCCCAGATCAGTATTAGCCTTTTGAAAACATTTGTCTACATGTTAATGGATTAATCAACCGGACAAATGGAACGAAAATAATATCTAACAAACATTGTTACACTTTTATATTGGTCAAGATCTTCTCCTTTTCTTCAGTTATAAGCAAGGTGTCTAGAAGAACATTATGATATCTATATTCATTGTCACTCCTCTGGGAAATGTTCCCTCTGTAAATGTCTATCATCTGTATAAAAATGTTAAGTTGTTATTAATTCTATAAATGTGTTGTAAAGCAATAAATGTGTATAATTTAAATATTTTATGTGTTATTATTTTATTCCATTCATAACAGTATTTAAATTTGTTATCCTCCTTCTCCATTGATAACAATATTTTTATTTGTTATCCTCCTCCTCCAATCATAACAATATCTAAATTTACAATATTTAAATTTGTTATTCATAACAATATTTAACTGTGTTATTCATAACAATATTTAAAAATATTCATAACAATATTTAAAAATATTCATAACAATATTTAAAAATATTCATAACAATATTTAAAAATATTTAAATTTGTTATTTATAACAATATCTAAATTTGTGTCATTTTAGTAATAAAACACAAAACTTGAGAATCATTGCAGAAACGTAACCCCTGTTGAATTCAGTAATTGTTTATCCATAAAGTGTTGGGTTGAAATAAAATATGTTAGTCTCAAAATGACCTAGTTTTTGTCAAGTGGACGTTAAAACCCATTTTTCCATAAAGGTTTGGTTGTAATTGCCACTGGCAGAGATCGAATGAAATTCGAACGGCACTTCACTCTAGACGTTTAGCGACGATTGAGCTTCGCCGCCTGAAACGGACTATGGTGATCTGGCATATCAGTAGGCATTGAAAATGACCCCGGTGTCCATTATAAAAGAGCAATGTTATGATCCATAGACCAATAATTTAAAGACAACGAGTAAATTAGAATGCCTATCAACTGAATGACAATTTGTTCAATGTAACGAGATGATGGCTCGGACGATCGTTATTGTAAAAATATGTGACTGCAAGGCAAGTTGTAAAGTTTATTTCGTCTTCATAAGCTCGTTTGATACAGAAAAGTAAATCTGATTACTCGTTTCGTTTTTATAGT